AGAGGCAGAAGGATTGCTTGAGCCCAGGAGTTTGAGGTTGCTGTGAGCTAGGCTGACGCCATGGCATTCACTCTAGCCCGGGCAACAAAGCGAGACTCTGTCTCAAAAAAAAAAAAAAGAAATCCCAGGCCCAAATGGCATCACTGGAGACTTTTACCAAGTACTCAGAAAAGAATTAACAACAATTTTATGCAATCTCTTTCAAAACATAGAGGGAACACTTCCAAACTCATTTTATGAGGCCAGCATTACGTTGATATTAAAACCAGACAAAGACAGTACAAAAAGAAAACTGTATAGATCAATGTCTCTCAGGAAATACGTATATCAGGAACTTAGACACAAAAATTCTCAACAAAACATTAGAAAATTGAATTCAATAATGTAAAAAGAATTATAGACCATGACCAAGTAAGATTAATTCCAAATATGCAAGGCAGGTTCAATATTTGAAAATCAATCAATGTAATTCACCATATCAAAGGTCTAAGGAAGTAAAATCATTTGATAATTCATGCAAGGAAAACACTTGACAAAATTCAAAATGCATTTATGTTAAAAACTCTCTCCAATTTAGGAATAGAGAGGAATTACCTCAACTTGGTAGAGAACTTCTATAAAAACTTATAGCTGATTTCTAGTTTCCAATCTGACTTAAACTTGGAAGTCCTCACTCTCATCCTCACAACAAAAAAAAGCTGAACAAACTGAAGACCACCAACTCTTCTTACACCCTTCAGAGACTTAAGGACAAAACCCTGTCCCCAAAACTGGAGAAAAATGCCAATAAAGAGATTTAGAGCTTATCAGGGTTAGAAGTCATAGTTGGAACCTTAAGTGTTTTAAGTAGAAACTTGTAAAGAGTAATTAACTAACTAGTTGTGGGAGATTGAGTGTGGAATACATTAGAGATAAAAATGACTGAGAGACCATCTTAAGGAGGTTCCCTACATTTATCTCCAGGAGCCCCGCCCCAGGTTCTCAAGGAGAAGAGAAAAATCCCCTCCCGTTTAACCTTGGCATGTTATATTCAAGCTGTAGAAAGTTACAACAAAAAGAAATTTTGGAAGGAAGCCAGAGGAAAAGGATAAGAATTACATCAGACTTCTTCAGAAATCATGCAAATAAGAGAGTGGAGTGAAATATTTAAAGTGTTAAAAAAAACAAACCAACAATCTAAAAATTTGTTTCCAATGAAATTATCCTTCAAAAGTAAAAGAGAAATAAAGGCTTTCTCAAATTAACAAGAATATGGGAACTTGTCACCAGTACTGACATTGCTAGCCTTGCAAGAAATATTTTAAAAAGTTTTTCATAAAGAAGAAAAATGATTGATGTCAGAAACTTGGATCAACACAAAAAAGGGAAGAATATTAGAGAAAAGGAATAAAGATAAAAATCTTTTATTTTCTTAATCTTAATTGATCTAACAGATAACCGTTTGTATAAAGTATTAACGGCAACAAGACATTGGGTGATTACCGCTTAAGTATAAGCGAGATGGATGACAGCAATGTTATAAGAAACAAGACGGGAAGAAATGGGAATATTCTGTTATAAGGTACCTATACTACCCATGAAGTGGGATAGTGTTATTTGAAAGTGAACTTACATTAGTTGTAAATGTATACTGTAAACTCCATGGCAAACACACACAAATTAGAAGTATAACTGATATGCTAAGGAGAAAATGAAATAATATAAAATGCTCAATTAAAACTAGAGACAAAAAAAGTAGGAGACAAAAAAAGAAACGAGTTCAACAAAAAATAGTTGCAAATATAATCAATAATAATCCAACTAAATCACATTCAAATGTGAATGTTCTCAATGCACTAATAAAGACAGATTGTCAGAGTTAACAAAAAATCAAGACCGAACTATATGCTGTCTTCAAGAAACCCACTTCAAATATTAGTTTTCTAATTCATTTGGGTAAATACCTAGGAACATGATTATTGGATCATGTGGTAATATGTTTAACTTTGTAAGAAACTTCCAATTGATTTCTAAAGTGGTTATACCATTTTGCATTCTTACCAACAACGAATTAGAGTTCTCACCAGCATTTGGCATTGTCAATGTTTTACATTTCAGCTATTCTAATAGGTATGTAGTGGTTATATTTTCAAAGTCCGGTTTAAAGGATACAAAGTAGCTGTATGGAAAAGAGGAGAGGAGGGACAGGGAAGGAATAAGGAGAGGAGATGGGGAAGAGGAGAGAAATCTGAGGTCTTAAATATCAAACTAAGGATCTGGACCATTTTGACCAGGTAATAAAGAACAACTTAAAAGTTTTTAAGCAAATCATAATAATCAGAATGCTGTTCTAAAATGTCTGTTTTCTCATAGATATGAATGGATGGACTGGAGAAGGCA